TGACCAAGCCTTTCCATGGCCTTCGTTGTGGGGAGAACTGCCAGGCAGCAGGTTACAGGTCAAGGGAACCCCAGGCCATAAGAACACCTCCTGCAGGATGAAGACTCTGCAACAAGCTTGCTGCACACATCAAAATACCCTAGATTGCAGTGGTTTAGAAAAAAAAAGTTCATTTCTCTGCCAGTACAAAGTCTAGAGAAAATAGTCTAGACATTTTGTCACCATCAAGGTCTCAGGGAACCAGATTCCACCTGCCTGTTCCATCCAAATGCAGGCCTCTCTCCTCAAGGTCACCCCTCAGGGTCCAAGGGCTGCTGAGGCTTCCAGATGGAAGCAGCAGGAAGCCAAGGAGGAGCAAAAGGGCGCAGTTCCTGGCTGTGATGCTTCTGCATCCATGTCACTGCCCAGAACACAGGCACACGGCTGCACCAAGTGCAGAGAGCTGGGACACACAGTCTTACTTAGCTGGGCACCCCAGATAAAATTGAGACACCAAAACACAACTGTACTCTCTGCCACAATTGTAGTGGGCAGGCTGGCATCCTCAAAGAGGTAGTCCCCCCATACATGCTTTCATTGTCTACCTGAGCTGGTGAGACATCACCTTACCCAGGAAGTCCTAGAGACCTCCATAGACCAGCAGAAGTGGCCATACCCTAGGGCCTGTTCCCTATCCCCCACAGATTGCCCTGGACTCATAAAAGCAAAACAAACTGGACAGTTTTTTGCTGAGAAAATTCCAATCCCAGCTCTCTACTCCAGGATGCCAGGGGAAGCCAAGGTCATCTGAGTCCCATGGACCCCCAGCCTGGTTTCACAAAGCAGCAGACAAGACAGGCAGGAAGAGGAGTGAACCAAGGCTAGCATCTAAAAGGGAGGCCGGAAGGCGGGCCCAAGGGCAGCCACAAGCTTTCTGGGGATGAGAGGGTGAGTGTTCTGAAAGGCTGGCCTAGAGTTAGACTGCCAGCCAGGGCTGCTAATCACTGCTGCTCCATCTAAGTGACACCACATAAAGCTGCTGTTCAAATCACCTCCGGGGACCAGCACAACATTTATGGTGGAAGCCGACCAGACTGTCTGGGACCCCCAACTCCCATACAAATGGGTCAATGTGAAGGTAAGTGCCACTTGCACTCATCCAGACCCTGCTGGCTATATTAAGGGACAGAGCCTGATCTGCAGATAGCCTGGATTCTACCTGGATCCAGAAGGGCTAAACTCCATCCACCCCTGAATCACAGAAATGGCCCATAAGGTTCTGAGATGTACCCACTACCCCGAAGTCAGGGTTAGGATGCTCACCCCACCCCAGAGCCAAGGCGAGCAGGCCAAATGAGCGATGTCCCACCCTCCGGAAACAAGGTCTGACCCCAAAGTGTTCAAGCTCCTGCAGCCCCTCTCCCTTCCCTGATAGAAGGCAGAGCACCCTGGAGACCCTGCATGAGAAGGGGCAAAAAGGTGGAAGTCCAGGCCCTCCAGGAGAGGCAGCCAGGAGGCAGGACATCCCTGAGTCCTGGAGTCCCATCTCCACCTAATGGGCCCACATAGTCTGGGCTTCAAGCAAGCAGGAGGAGGGGCTGAAAGTAGGGGCGGGGGCTGCTTTCCTCAACAAACTGGGCTGCCTTGGCTCCATTCCTGGAGCCTGACCTACACCCCACAAATGCCAGCATCAGATGCCTCTGAGGTTGGAGAAGCTCCAAGTTGACTGGGAGATGGCACAGAGTGGGGTGTCTGGGGGCCAAGCCAAATCAGCTCAGTCCCAGTCAACACCCCAGCATGACCTACAGCTCACCCAGTGCTGCAGCATACTACTCGCCTGCTCTGCATCCAGGTCTGGCCAGGCCCCATCTTGTCCCCTGTGACTGCCCCATGGTGGGCAGTTCATGTCCAGGGCTTTGGGCATTAAAACCAGCACAGGCTCCCAAACCCACTGCTCAGCAGCCCCAGCCCTGTAGCCCCTCAAAGGGCAGCCCGTACTTCCTGGAAGAGCCCAAAGGTGCCTGCTGGGAGAGCAGGGTTGAGGGGCCACACCTTGGAGACACTAACCAGGGAGGCCTCACCACAATTCCAGACCCTCATTGGCTGGCTGGCCCTTTCAGACCCAGCCTGGCCACCCAGAAAAACCAGCCAGCACCTCCTCCTGGGCTCCTTCAGGGGCTGCAGGTACCCACCCCCACAGACAAGGCCCAGGCCTTGGCAACCCGCCTCCTCTTCTAAGGCCTCCTCCAATATCACGGAGCCATCACAATCTCCCTGACCCCACCCGAACCCCTATCCACCTGGCTGGGCCACATCTGCCCTTCGCACAAAGCTCCTGGCTGGCTCATCATGCCTCCAGAGGCCATCAGGCCACAGAGGATGAAGGCAGAGGGAATATTCTGCCTCGGTGTGCATACGCTCTTAAAGTGAAAGCAGCTCCACATTACCAACAGGTGGCCCTCAGTACTGGGAGGAGAGGGAGAGGCTCAGGACACTGGCAAGAGCCAGGGGATGCCTGTGGCAGGCTGTCAAATGCCCTGCTCACAGGAGCCTTGCCCCACCCCCTCCATCAAATCTGGGCCAAAGACCTCCTGAGGTCTGGAGGCTCATGGCCCTCAGCCCCCATGGCCTCAGCAGGCTGGCACTGGGGGCTGAGAGGGGGGAAGGCCAGGAGCCTTCAGTTTTATTTTCTCATGTTTCTCCTGAACACATTCTGCTGACCCCCAAAATGGCAAAAGCCAAGATGCTCAAATGTTAAAGCTCAACAGCTGATAACACACTTAATAACAAAAATAAGTAATATTTAGAACTTTGATTAAATTCAAAGTGAATAAATTATGCTTTTAGATTTAATATACAATGTGTTTAAATTCTTATGCATGTCATATTTAGAAATTTGATTAAATTCATAAGTGAATAAATTATGCTTTTAGATTTACTATACAATGTGTTTAAATTTTTATGCATGTCAAATTATATTAGTTTAGAGCATTAAGAAAGCAGAGGGGGCTGTCAGCCCAACTGGTTATGTTCCCACCCTCTTCTGGCCATGGTTGGATCACTGGCCACCCCCTCCCCACCTAAGGTGTGCTGCCCTTTGTGCCAAGGACAGACATGGCCCAGCCAAGCGGAAAAGAGGTTTGGGTGGGGTCAGGTGATGGCTCAGTGACATTGGAGAAGGCCTTCAGGCCTCCATTGATGGTTGGCACAGGGTGTGTGAGGCTCTAACATGTTGCTACAGCCTCCTCACACACCTCCAAGTGCTGCAGGCCTGAACCACAAAGGCCACCCCATCCCCAATGCTGACCTTTCTGTTCCACTTACCACTCCATGCCTGGCCTCTGCAAATGTGACAGTAATGCAGAGAATTTAATTTGCTTTAAATGTCTGCCCACCCCTGCTGTCAAATCTAAGGACCCTGACCCAGACTGATTCTGCCTGCCAGCACTCACCGCCAAGAACATGTTGCCTCAACGGAGGGGACTCAGGGAGCACGCTACTTCTCCTAGGCCTGTATTGTCGCCAACTCCTCTGACACCCCTTAGCCCAGGGTGAGGTGTTAGGGGCACACTTGATATCCCTGGACAGGACTAGAGGGATTGGAGGAGGAAAAGGAGGTCACCATCCACTGGCTGGGAACATCAAGTGGAGCAGAGAACAATGATTTGCAAAGGGTGTCTGCAGCACCATTCATCCACCCTTGGTCACCAAGCATGTCCCTATTGCTGACATCTAATCTGCCTCCAAGTCGCATTGGTTCCTTTCTCCAAAATGGCACTTTGGATCTATTCTCTTCTCTTCCTTTGCTGCACCTACTTGTTCAGACGTCTGAGGCTGAGTGCACCTTCTTTCCTCCCATGAATAGTCATGGAGCAAAGACCACTTGCCAGGCATGGAAGGGAGGGGAGGGATGCGGGAGAGAGGTTAGGCGATGACGTAGTTGGCACAGAAGTGAACAAAATCCAAAAGCCTGGCCCTCTCAGCTCCGGGTTTTACTCCAACAGTCTCCTGCCTGGGCCGGGGCCTCTCACCCCTCCTTCTGCCTTTGCCAGGAGGTTCTGACAGTGCCTCCCCGCCTCAACGAACACCGGCCACAGAATGAAGTCTCGGCCCGTATCTTGAACATCCTCCATGTTCGGGCACCGCTGAACTTGACCTTCATAGCCCCGGCCTGCGATCCGCCGCACTGGCCTCTCTTCGCTTCTTCCAACGAGCCTCCGCGTCTTTGCATCTGCTGTTTCCTCTGCCGGAGCGCCTTTCCACTCAGTTCTCAGCTGCAGTGTCATCTCCTCAGAGAGACGCCTCCCTTTCTGCACCTTGTCGTCTACCCTGCCTTTTGCTCCCTGTTCGTTCTAGCCGCACCACCCCGTCTTGTCCACCCGGCCAAGTTCCACCAGAGCAGAAGCCGCGTCTGCACCGCCACCCCCCACACCACGCGTAGTTTTAAACTGCACGAAGCCTGCCCCGAACCGGCCTGCTGGACCGCCTCCACTCTGAGGAACCCCACCGTTGGCTGCCAGAAACCGCAGCGCCTTCGCAACCCTCCTCTGCCACCGCGGGGCAGCCCAAGGACCGAAACGACCTTGCTGGAGCGGTGGCCAGGCCCGTCGGGAGCCCAGAGCGCACGCGCACGGAGAGGGGCGGGGCCTCGTTAACAACCTCGGCGCTGGCCGGTGAGCTGCCCATGAGGAGCGGTCCTCTCGACTCCAGCAAACAGCCAATTTGCTGGCTCCATGAGGCGCGCAGGAAGACCTGAGCAGTCCCAAATACCCCTCCAGAGAAGGAAATACAGTAAGCTTCCCCGATGAGGCTCACCACGAAAGGCTTTGGCCTTTTAACACTGTGCGCGCTCGTTCCTATTGGCTGAAGCGCTTACGTCATTGCTGCGCGCCGAACGGCGGCGTCTTCCCGCTTCCTAACTCTGACGACAGTGCGGCGCCGGCTTCAGCGGCTGAGGAGAGCGGGAGGAGGTCTCGGCGGCGGGAAGATGTAAGTGCTGGAATCCAACCCCATCCAAGCTTCGGGGGTCTCCCGCCAGGCTTGGCGGGGTGCATCGTGATGTAGGCGCGCTTCCCGGCCCGCGGTGGGGACGGCGGCCTGGCGGTGCAGCGCGGGGGTCTCAAAAGAGTGGCCCCGAACGGGCATAGTGGGAGGTGCCGAGGCTGCGGCCCGGAAGTGGTCGGGACCGCGGCGGGCGGAAGGGCGCTCTTGTTTCGTCCGCTCTGCGGAGTACCCTGCTAGGCCCGCGGGACTCGGAGCTGCCGAGAGTGGGGCTTCTGCCCTCAGGGTTCTCTCGCCGGGCTGGAGACCGAGGCCCGCAACGCTGGGCCCTGCCCTGGAAGCGCTCGCAGCCCGGCGCCTGGACTGGGGAGTTGTGAGTGAACGCGGACCGGGGTGGCGAGGTCGCGTGCGGGGCCGGTGCTGGTGGGTGCGGAGTTGCATTGTGGGATACCCTGAAAGACTGGCTGATTCTCCCTTCGAGGCCATTAATTCAAACATTTACTCCACGAACGTTTACCGGGCTCCTGTGTGCCTCTCTCGGTGTCAGTCCTTGAGGATACGGTCCCTGAGACCATGGAGCTCAGTTTGATGGGTTACCCCCAGAAGGGAGGATACGGGACATTTAAAATTCAATATTGGAGAGACGTGGCCTTTTCTGTTACTTTGCATGAATTGTGCCTAAAATGTACTTTTTTAAATGGGGAAGGTGCTCTGAAGATATG